GAGACTTAGGCAGAATTTAAGACTATGATTTAAATTTGATGACACAATTTCCCAGCCTGTGTTAATGTTCAATATAGGTGGGACATGAGTGATCATTCCCAAAGATGTTTTAGAATAAAAAGAAATCATTGAAAGCTGAACTTGAATCCTTCACTGTTCTTTAGGTAACAGCAGATGTGTATTTTCTATCTACCACGAACAGATTATGATGCCAAGTGAATTAACATAATGTGAACAGTTCCGACTGCCTTCCCTCATGCTGGCAGCCTGGGAAGACTGGCATTAAACAATCGATTACATACTTAATTATTTCCCTATTATGATAACTGCTATGGCAAAAAAGTAGCGTGCTATGAAATATGTACTCTGGAAGTAGCTCAGGGGCTCGAGGAAGGCTCTCTGTTGAGAGTGACTTTTGTGCTGAGATCTATAAATTAATATTGATTAACTAGGGAAAAAAAGGATGGTGAAAAGAAAAGAACTCAATTAGCCAAAGTATTTCAAATGTTAAAACAATGGATTTGCATTAATTATATGTGTGGTAATTCATAATGATGAGAAAAGTAATGCCCTTGAATTTTTTGGTAATAGGATAGTTTAAATAAGCACCTGCTTATCTACACTAAAGAATTTCTTCTTTAGAGATGCGATATCCCGTGGGATAGTCACCTTGCATGTCCCCAGATGGGCAGTTCTTTAGCTCCGACTGAGAAATGGCTTCAATGTAGTCAGAAGAAATAGGCTGTAACCCACAGGTTTCCTCCGGGTGAATCAGCAAACCACAGTCCTGCATTACAATGATAGATATTAGTCGCCGTTAACCTGGCTAAGAGTGATAAAATTTCAAAAATAAGATTTTCTGTGTCAAATAGCCTTCATGAATGAAGGGGACACCTCTCATTTACCCTTCTCGGGCTACTGACTCATCAATAGTTATTTGTGCTAAAATTAGCTACTGTCATTAGTAGGGTGAATTAGGGGGTCAATATAAATTCCAAAGACAACTTAATCTTAATTTGACATTGATATTCATATCATTACTTTGCTCATTTTTAAAAATTTGGATGTGAATTTTACCCTAAAAATACCATTGTGTCAACTCATAAAAAATACTATAATAGACAACAGTACACCAAGTGGAAAAGACAGTTAATGTGAGCAGGGAAGTGAGAAGTATTTCATGAGAATTTCATTTAACAGACACATTTCATTTCAGCAAACATTTATTAAGAACTCCTGATAGGGTAGAAATGAAATAAGATGCATGCATTTTATTCACAACACGTTCATTTCTTTATGACAATAGGTAACACCTCAGTGCCCTCGACATCGTTACGGAGGCGTGTTCTGTACTAAGCGAGGCTTCCCACAGGCTGACAGGGGCAGGGCAGAACCGCAGCACGGTGGCGGCTCTGAAACTTCTCTCCTCTGTCCCAGTCACTGAGCTGCACCTGCGGGTTGGACCACCCTCATTTTCTCTTAACTTATTCTGCAAAGCTATTGGCACTTGACCTGTCCCATGTCACTTTCTCCTACTTGACACAGCCCTACGGTCACCCTCCCCACTGAGTTTTCTCAGTCTGTCACAGTTCAGGCTGTGTAGAAATGCTATGATCTTTGTCTGGCTTGCCTTCTCCCTAACTGTGCACGGAGGGCATCTTTTTCTGTCTCAACAAGGCCTTCCTGAAACTGTGGCACAATCATGTCTCCCCACCGTTGTCCATGTCAGCACCCAGTGTGTTTCCCTCACACTCTTCACCATCTGGTAATTATCTTTTTGTTGTCTGTGCCTTTTCTGCTATGCTGCACGCTGTATGGGAGCAATCAATTAATTTATTCACACATATGCCCAGTGCCTGCCATAAGTAGACAATAAATATTTGTTAAACTCATCAAAGGTTAGACTTGTTGCTCTCTCTTCATAAGCAATTCTCAATGAGGGAAGGAAATGATTGTTTGACCTTTTCTTGGCTCTGTAGTTCTGCCACTGTTCAGCAAGTGCAGACACTTTCCCTCATATTCCCAGTATCCCAACTCCCAAACTCAGAGTCCCAGATCTTATACAAAAAGCTCCAGGATATTAAGCAACAAAAAGAATGGGGGCGGTGTGTGGGCTTCTTGAAATCTTGATTTAGTCTACGTGTTCTTTTTTTAATTCACTACTGAAACTGGAGTTTAGGATATTGATTAAAAGTTAGAAAAGAGATTTGTGTTAAATGCTCATTATCATAAGAAAATTGAAAGTTTCTAATCTTGTGAGGAGACTTAGTTTGAATAAACATCTATGAGTGATATTTGTTAGTACACACGTATGAATGGTGTGGTTATCTGTCTATCTATTTATTTTTGGTGGAGAATGGACCTTTTAAGGCCAGAAGAAATGTCATTATCAAGATTGCAAAAAAAAAGTTGATGTCTAATGTCAGAAAGAGCAATGAGAAACAATTACCATCAAATACTGTTGAAGGGCAGTGTTTATACTAAAATAAAAGATTCAGCGATTCTGCAGCCCTGGAGCCAAACTTCTCAGTGTCTGCCCTAGAAAAACCCACACAGAATGCATAAAGAACATGTATAAGGATAGACATAGATGGGCTAATATGGACTTCAAGACATGTGATAAAGAAAAAACCAAGGATTACAGAACAATTCATCCCACCTGAAACATACATCCATGACCGTGTGCTCATTGAACCAGGAACATCCTAAACACTGATTTTGTGGGAACAATGACATCTCCATTGAGAGAATAAAAGGAAATAATGGTAGTCACCCCTAGAATATGTTTCTGGACTAATGGTGTGTGTCAAGGGGCTTTAGCTATATCTGGAATGCTTTACCTTCTATGTAGAGAGCGTGCTGTTCTTGTAGTACTTGTGAAACTAAATTTTAATTCAAAATGATATCATAAATAATTTTTGCCATCTCAGTAGAGAGTTTACGTTACCTTTCGGAAGGCTGTTCTTTCATTTTAGAAGGCGCCATGTTGGATATTCCTTTAAATGCAGAATACTCGACTGTCCGTAGTTCTGAAAGCTCTGACATCACCTAAATTTAGGTCCTTGAGACCGAGATGTTGTGTGCCATTTGTTACTAAAAAGATGTCTTTGTCATGTACATATATACCTATACAAATAATGTTTAAAATTTTTTAAAAGTCTAGGATTTAGAGATAATTTTGCCTAAAAAATAATGTTGCTTGTTGGGGGTTTCTGTGGCATGTGTGTATATGGCCATGTCCGGCTATTCATTGGGGGCCATTAGAAACAGTGTCCAGACCATAGCTGCAAAGCCCTCACTGGTCTCTTCCGTGGGAGCCCTGTGTGGACATGGTGCTTAGCCGTCAATCAGACAAATGTGCTGCTGCCAGTGTGCTAATGCCTTGTCCTGGGAGGAACCTGAGCAAGGTCAGTCACTGACAGATGAGCTGTGGCTGTTTGACACAGGCGAGTTAGAGGTGACTCCTCTGAGGAGACATTGGAACTGAAGGTTGCGAAAACTTGAGGGATGAGAGTTCCGAGAGGAAGAACGAGCATGTCAAAATCCATGAGGAAAAAGGATTCATCTGACTTCTTCAGGAAAAAAAAAAGCCAGTTTTAAAAACTGATAATAGGCTCAGCACCCGTCACTTAAGTGGCTAAGGCACCAGCCACATACACTGGAACTGGTGGGTTCAAATCCAGCCTGGGCCTGCCAAACAACAATGACAACTACAACCAAAAAATAGCCGGGCATTGTGTCAGGCACCTGTAGTCCCAGCTACTTGGGAGGCTGAAGGCAAGAGAATCACTTAAGCCCACAAGTTGGAGGTTGCTGTGAGCTGTGATGCCATAGCACTTTACCCTGGGCAACAGCTTGAGGCTCTGTCTCAAAAATAAATAAATAAATAAATAAAAATTAAAAACTGATTATGCTAATAGTCTGTATTTTCATAATCAAATTACAATATCCTTTCTGAGATGGCGACTCCAAGGTTATCTACTATATAATCTCCTATTCAAAGGAAGAATTATAATTTCATGAGGTAGTTCTCAGCATTGTTGGATACCATTTTAGAATGGAATGATATGAATTTAATACCCAGAATGTACAAAGTGCCATGCTGAGGATTCACTGCAGTTCATGACCCCATGAGACCCACAGTGGCAATTTCTTCCTAATAGTGAATGGAAGTCTGCTTTTCATTGGTCCTAATTCTCTTAGATACTGCTTGGAAGAGATTTGCTATAATGTTACAGAAACATACTGTGCTCTGATTGCCAAGCTATTTAAATAAATGACCATCAAAATTACAGGATCATTTTTAAATGCTCAATTTTTATCCCTTGCAAATGCCCAAGGACCCCACGTTTCAATCTATGATTATAATAAACCGACTGCAGAGCACAGAAAAGCACAGTATCAGTGGCCAGGCTGGGAGAACTGCCTGTTCCTCAGAGCCTTAGAGTTGTCTTGGTGTTTGAATCGTTACCTGATATGGTGACATTTCTGTCTTCTACTGAGGGTTTCCACTGGGTACCTACTCTGTGACATTTGTAGGTCAGCCCTGTTGGTTCTAACTAGACAGGACTCCAGTAAAGTTTAAGATAAGACAGGAATCCAAGCAATATTTCAAAGAACAGACTTACGTCGAGAGTGAGAGACAGCAGATTTAGAGGTAAATAAATGCTCCAGTCATACCTTTTCTACGGCTCAGGCCAAAGAATATTCTATTGTATTCTGTGCTTCCTTTTGAATTTCTCCTTAGCTGTTAGTCTTTGCACTTTATATATCTTAAGCCTTTATGTTCAAGTCTTCAGTATTTTGGATCACTAGCGCAGCCCACTTGAGTGAATACTAATCATTTTCTGAGCTGTGGCCAGACTATGCAACCTTTAATGTGACCAAATCTGGAGACTGGTTAATAGAGTTGAGGGAGCTGGGAGAAGGAAGGATGGCGTCTGTCTAGTTGAGTAGGCTTCATGGAAGAAGAGAACAAGAGAATACATTAACAAGAGTTATCTCACTGCAAAATGGTGAAAGGTGGAGAGAGGAGAAGGGAAAGAACTACATTAAATGATCTCAAGTCCTGCAGCAGACTGCCTTACGGGCCTACACAACATCCATTTTCTTTCCTTTATTTTTGACAGCAAAATCCTTATTTTGTTGCACGTGATATTGTTTTAGGCACTACAACAATAATCTATTTCATAGTCTTTTGTAGCTAAAGGTGTTCACGGAACACAGATCTCACTGTAGAACTGTAAGTGAATGTCTGCCATGAATTTCTGGAAGATTCACTTCTCTGATGTCACTTTTTCTTCATAACTGTGTTTCTTCTTTCTCTTTGGAATGTAAATGTGAGCTTAAGAGTTGAGCAGCCTTCTTGGACTATGTGGTAACCATGAGCAGAAAAATAGAGCGTAGCACATAGACAATTCTATGAAGCTGCAGTGCCAACTTAGGGGCGCCTGCCTCTACACTTTTCAACATGGAAAGAGAGAGCACCCAATCCTAGCCACCGGACCACTAGGGAGTGTTTTTGATATGGAGAGAAAACAAACTTTTATTTGATGAAGCCACAATAGAAATGCTAGATGCCACCAAACTCCTCTCTTCCTGGAAGAGTCCATAAAATCTATTCTTTTCCAGCCACAAGAATCAGTTGGAGTATTCATTTAGATATTAAAAGTGATCAGTCCCACTAGTAAAATTTCTTTAAACAATCATGAAAGGCAAAAATGCTTATTAGCTTCTTTCATTTTTTATCTCCACTTGGGATGATTAGTCATTTGGTCAGGTTCAGGC